AAGGCAGACGCTTAACGACTGAGCCACCCAGGCGCCACCAAGTGTATCCTTTTCTGATCTATCTTCTTTCCTTTCCCTCTTAAAGAATACCATCACCTTGAATGTGGTATCTATCATCCCAATTCACATCCCTTTGCTTTTATCACATCTGTAGATATCCCTAAACCACAGTATTGTTTTTGTGTGTATTAGAACTGCACATAAAATCGTCTTGTAGTATATCCTTGTAGAACTTTTTGTTAATCATCATTTTTAGATTTGTCTATGAGGATGCAGCTAAGTCTAGTTCACTTATTTTCACAGCCAAATAGTACTCCATTGATTGACTATTCTACAATTTATATATTCTCTGTACTGTTAACTTGCATTAAATGCTACAATGAGCAGTCTTATGTCTCCTGCATAGAAGTGTGAGAGTTTCTCTAGAATGGAAAAGTTAAGTCAAAGTTTTACCAGATATTGTCCAAAATATTGTCCAGACGTTGTCCAAACTTATTCTTATATGAGCAGAAGGCAATTTCCCCTTTTTCTACAAAATCAGTAATATTTCATTGTGCATTTCAATGATTACTGCTAACTTGGGCATATTTTATGTGTATATTATCATTCTTCTGTAGATTGCCTGTTCAAATCCTTTGTCCACTTTTTAATTGGTCTACCTCTTTTTTCTAATTTATATTTAAGAGTTCTTTATATATTCTAGATACCAGTACTTTGTTGTTTGTCTTCATTTCTATTTTATGGGATTTTCTTTATTCATACAAGTTTTTGTCATAAATGTAGTCAAATTGATCAAACCTTCTTTTGTAATTTATGCATTTTGCATTTTGTTTAAGCAATTCTTGCCTACCAGGAGTGTATAAATATATTCTTCTGTTTTCTTTTAGAGGTTCTGAAGTATTTTCACATTTAAGCCTTTAACTCCCCTGGTATTGATTTTGTTTGTGGCTAAAAGTAAGAAAATAATTATATATTTTTTCCAATTAGCCGGTTGCCCCAGCAACATTTATTGCACAGTCTATTCAGTGACTAATCCATCTTCGTGGGACTGCAAAGCCAGGACTTTCATATACCAGTCATCTATATCTGTGTGGGTCTATGTGCTCCCCACTGTGGACTCTGTCTCTCCCTGTAACAGCACCGCATTTAGAGTTTAATGAAACTCCAACCTTCATATTTCTTTAAAATTGTCCTGTTCAGGGGCGCCTGGGTGGCTCAGTCGTTAAGCATCTGCCTTCGGCTCAGGTCATGGTCTCAGGGTCCTGGGATCGAGCCCCACATCGGGCTCCTTGCTCCGCGGGAAGCGTGCTTCTCCCTCTCCCACTCCCCCTGCTTGTGTTCCTGCTCTCGCTCTCTCTCTCTGTCAAATAAATAAATAAAAATCTATAAAAAATATATAAAAAAAATAAATAAATAAAATTGCCCTGTTTCTAAAACTGTCTATTTTTGGCCCTTTGCTTTTCCACATGAGCTTTAAAATCAATTTTTTAGGTTTCACTAAAAATCGTACTGGGATGTTTACTGGAATTGCCTTGAATTTATAGATTTATTCAGGAGAACTAACATCTTTATGACATTGAACCACCCTATCTACAAACATGGCATTCTAAAAAACATGGAATATTGTCTAAATTTCATGTTATCCTTACATGAAGGCCTTACCCTCTGTACTTTCTGTATCATTTCAATTTTAGTCAATTGCTTCAAAAGCAAACACATCGCCACCATGTTAGCATTATAATAGTTATGCAGAGCCCAACTTACCCTGATGTTTCAAATTACAATTTTTTCAACTTTATCATGGTGCAAAAGCAATACACATTCAGTAGAAATCATACTTCAAATTTTAAATTCTGATCTTTTCCTGAGCTAGCAATATGCATGGGGTAGGATACTGTCTGGTGACGCTGGGCAGCTCCCAGCCGGCCACACGACCTCAAGGGGAAATCCAATCGATATACTTTCAACCATGCTGCTTCTCACTTTCAGTATTCAGTAACTCACATGAGATATTCAACAGTTTACTACAAAATAGGCTTTGTGTGGGATGATTTTGCCTGACTGTAGGCTAATGTGCCCTTAGCACACTTAAGGTAGACAAGGCTAAGCTATGATGTTTGGTAGGTTAGGTGTATTAAATGCAGTATATTGGGATGTAACCTCATTGTAAGTTGTACACAGATAGCCAACCAAATCAACAAGTCAAAGTATATCCTCAAATAACTATCTTCAGTATTTTTGTGAAACACAAAGTTATCATAGAATCAGGGACATTATTTAGAATATATTTTTGGAAAAATTATTTCCTGAGCTTGCTTATTCTCTCAGATAAATAATGCCATTTTTGGCCTTTCCTACAGGCCCTATTTTCTGTTCCTCGAAACTCTTCAAGTGCCAGATTCAAAAGAAGTGAACTGTGTGTTAAAAATCATGAGATAATTCTTTTAAATTGTACACACAAAGTACATCATGCTTTACTCAACTGAATAAGACTTTAGCTCCCTTGCTGTATTTGTTTTAGTGCTATGAAGAGGCAATTTTAAGACAAGAATTTATCCAATCATTTAACAAAAGCTACATTCAGAAAACTGGCAAGCTTTACAGAACATCTTTTGGAGAGCAAATATTGTATTTATTTATTGTTCTATTCATCATGTAGCATAATGTGAATATTATAGTACAATTAATAATAACTGTGATTGTAACAGTAATATATGTATATATTCACAGCTGGGTTTGAGAACCACCCTTCTATTTATTATTCATTAAATCATTCAAAAAACAGAGAATGAAAGCTTTCTATGAGAATTCAATATACCCAGTGTACATTGTATTAGTTGACTTGAATTTGCATTTGCTAAATAATGAAGTCTTTCCTTATCTTCCCCAAACAGATGAAATTTGCCCCTCATCTAAATCTCTACAAAAATTCAATTTTGCTTAAGGCAATTATCAATTTTTCCTTGCATTTCTGCTATTTGTGACACCATATAATTTTTCTATCCTCTCATATAATATGGTGGCTATATGAATGGGACATCAAGTCACACAGACCTTTAACCCTGTATCTTTTATGCATTAACTATGTGTCCATGGACAAATTACTTGACCTGTCTAGGCCTTAGAGACAATGGACTCTGAAAAGCAAACTGAGGATTCTAGAGGGGAGGGGGGTGGGAGGATGGGTTAGCCTGGTGATGGGTATTAAAGAGGGCACGTTATGCAGGGAGCACTGGGTGTTATGCACAAACAATGAATCATGGAACACTACATCAAAAACTAATGATGTAATGTATGGTGATTAACAATAAAAATTAAAAAGAAAAGAACATCAAGCTACATTATAAGGTTGTTGTGAGAATGTACGTAAAGAGTTTAATGTATAGTTTGTATTTACTCACCTATCATCATCAGTATCATCATATTATATCCTCCCCCCAATTCCTCTAAAATCTAATTTGCAAGTTTCTAGAAGGGCAGAAGCCACAGCTTACCTTCCTTCACACAGTTGACAACTTGATGAGTAACTCCTATGCATAAGGCACACAAAGTAATTAATAAAATTTGTTGAATTAAAGATATTTCTCTATGCAGTATACTCCAAGTTTTGGTGGTGTTTTTTTTTTTAAATTCTCCTCTTTATATGTCTGGTTTCTCAAATTAGATAATAAACCATATAAGGGCAGGTGGCAGTTCAGCAAATAAATGAATGAACCTTAATAAATAAATGCTAATAGTAAATGAGTAAGTAAATACTGAATATACGTTTAAAATAAAAATCACTGACAAATCCAAAATAAAATATTAAGATATTTTCAGATGTAATTAAAAAAAACACACAAA